GAGAAGTTCTTTGAATCCATCTCATTTCATCTCATTCGAATCACTTCATTTCTGTAGTCCATTGAATCTATGATTGTTCCCCTGGCCTACATTTTAATTTTACATTTGATATGTATCTTATGCTACAATTTCTCAACCAGCCAATCTGAGGTTTTCTCCTGCCCTTTCAAAGACAGACATCTCCCCTGTAAGATCACAAGTCACAAAGAAATGATCACAAATGCTCATAATTGGTACAAAGTCACAGCATTATTCATGTCTCGTTTAACAATGAAAACCCACCAAAAATAACCTAAATACCTAATGATCAAGGAATGGGTTAATAAAATAAATAATAATAAATAATAATCCATTGAATCGATGGGAAATTATGCATACTATAAAAATATCTGCAAGGTGGGGCGCCTGGGTGGCTCAGTCATTAAGCATCTGCCTTTGGCTCAGGCTCAGGTCATGGGATCAAGTCCTCATCAAGCTCCCTGCTCGGCTGAAAGCCTGCTTTCCCTCTCCCACTCCCCCTGCTTGTGTTCCTGCTCTCACTATCTCTCTGTCTGTCAAATAAATGAATAAAATCTTTTAAAAAATATCTGCAAGAAATGTTAATGGCGACATAACATTGAGTGACAAAAACACAAAACAAAACTATCTATAATCCCACTTTATTGGAAAAAAAATATGTATGTAGAAAGGGAACAAAAAGGAAGTATTATCTTATTTTTGTTGTGGTTACCTCTGCATGGTGGGATAAAGGTGAGCTCTCTTCTTATTTAAACTTTTATTTTTTTTTCTAACTTTTGCAGAATGAATATACATGATTTTTACATTTGGGAATAAAATGTTTTCAAATGCCAAAAAATGTAAGTTGCTACATCAGGATCTAGAAAGCCCCAAGAAGTATTCCCTCTCATTTAAAAAGAGGGAAGGGACTGCCACACTATTAAGCAATCAGCCAGCAGGCTTCATGCAAGAGCAATAAGCTGACCTCTCAAGAGAAAATTAGTGACGCTCAGGAAATTAGAGCTGGGAGCCCCTGAGTTGTCTAATGCGTCCCTCAAGAATTAGCATCATATACATTACACTTTCTGGTGTGGGCACTTGCTTTTCAATTTAATTGTAAATATTTCAAGTGCTTGCAATTTCACTGCAACGTTTCAGAGAAGTCAACAGCAATTAATCCACCTTCTCTGGGTGGAATATAATATCTCCAGCAAACTTCAGAGATGTCCACGGAACTCTCTGGCCTGGACCTGCTAGCTGAGCAAGGATCTTAGATCTGGTTTAAATCCCGGCACCTCCATTTGGCTGTGAGACCTAACATAAGTCCCTTCACCTATCTGGTCACAGGTCCCCTCATTTGCACAAGGGAAACCTCTCCACCTACCTCACAAATGGTGCTGTAGGAATTATTATTTTTTAAGAGATTTAATTAATTTATTTGAGAGAGAGAGAGCCTGTGAGTGAGAACACGAGCAGGGGGAGGAGCGGAGAGAGCAGGAAAAGCAGGCTCCCTGGTGAGAACATGGGGGGGGGGGCTCCATCCCAGGACCCTAGGATCATGATCTGAGCCCAAGGCAGATACTGAACCCACTGAGCCACCCAGGTGCCCCAGCGTGCTGTAGGAACTAAATGAGCTGATGCATCTGGGGAATGACGACAGTAGGTACTCAGTAAATTTTGGTGATTCTGGAGTGCTGAACCAATGTTGAAGGGCTGTTTTCCTGGCAAAGTCAACAATACCTTCTTTTGTATTTCCCTGGATGACACAAGTGGGTTGGCATGAGCGGTACAGTTCATAACCTTGAATCAGCAAAATTCCATTTGGTACCCAAACCTTGGGCTTAGCTACGCCAACTAAATTCACCAGCCCCAGACCACAAATATGGCTCAGACAGCACCTGTTGGGCCTTTGAGCTGTTGATAAGAACTGCAGTGGTAACACTAGCCTTGGGGAAGGGAAAACAAGGACAGAGTAAAGAGTCATATATGCCATCCAATCAGTAGGGTTTGATGGATCGTTGATGTAGAGGCTGAAGGAAAGAGAAGAGTTCCCAAATTAGATGACTAAATGCACAGTTCATTAATTCAATGAATGTCTATAGAGCACTTGCTAGGGACCAGGAACTGTTCCAGGCACAGAAGACATGGCAGCAAACCAGAAGGGGAAAAGATCTCTGCTTTTGTGAGTTTACCTTCTAGTGGGGAAGACAGACAACAAACAATAAACAAATAAACAAAGACAGTTTCTGGTTGTGAGAACCATGATGAAGGACATAAAGAAGGTAATGGGATGGAGAATAAGAGGACCACACTTTAGGTCTGAGTCTGGTTGGCTCAGTTGGTTAAGAGTCTGCCTTCGGCTCAGGTCATGATCCCAGGGTCCTGGGACAGAGTCCCATGGTGGGGGCTCCCTGCTCAGTGGGGATCCTGCTTCTCCCTCTGCCTGCTGTTCTCTCTCTCTCTAACAAATAAATAAATAAAATCTTTAAAAAATTTTTTTAAAAAGAGGACCATACTTTAGATGGTCAGAGAAGGACTCTCTCAGGAGGTAACATATGAGGTGATGGGTCCTGATGTAAGGGACCTGATGAAAAGGACCCACCAGGTAGAGAAGAGAGGAAGCATTCCAGGAAGAAGAAGGTACAAAAACTTGAGGTGGGAAAAGGCTAGGTGCATTTGAGAACAGAGGGGGAAAAAACACCTTTGTAACTGAAGCATAGTGAGAGGAGAGAATTAGTAGAACAGAAGGTTGGAGGAGTAGACAGGACTTAGCTAAGGACCAAGCCTTCAGGAGCAGGTTCTTGGGGGCAGATGTTTTACTGTCGGGATGCTGAGTTTGAAGAGCCAGAGGGGATCTCTGAACTAAGGACCCAGCACTTGGTCCTAATAACTAGAAATAGTAGTGAGATTCAAGACAATGTCCACTGTGTCAAAACCACTAGGGAATGTTCTAAAAATACAGATTTCTCAGACATTAAAAATACAGGTTCCTGGGATATCACCCTGGGAGATTCCAGTTCAAGTAGGTCTCGGTTAAGATCTGGAAATCATTTTTGCAGTACTCACAGGTAATTCTGACCCATTCGTCCAAGAAATGTTTCTTGCATTCCTATTATGTGCCAGAAAAACTCCAAGTGCTAAAAATACAGCTCTGAAGAGGTTACAAATCTTAAGGTGTAGAGAAAGAACCGATGGAGAACACATAAAAAAAACAAATTACAATAATGATACATGTCATTTTAAAAAGCTGCTGAGGGGCGCCTGGGTGGCTCAGTGGGTTAAAGCCTCTGCCTTTGGCTCAGGTCATGATCCCAGGGTCCTGGGATCGAGCCCCGCATCGGGCTCTCTGCTAGGCATGGAGCCTGCTGAAATGTAATTACTATGGGGACCTACTCTAAATAAATATAAAGAGAAGATCTCTCTCTGAGGAAGTGACAGAGCTGATAGCTGAGAACTAAGAAGGAACAGCCACGTGGCAGTCCAAAAGAACAGCATCCCAGGCAGAGGGAACAGCCAAAGCAAGGGCTTGGTTGAGAACTCCATAGATCTAATTCTTTGGCTTATCCCACTTGATCAACCAACCAAAATGGGGGAGAAGACACTATTTCGTCTTTATGCGTTCACATACTAAGCACAGACTTTGTACCAGCCACAGTACCGGGTGCTGATACAAAGATGAACAAGAGGTTCCCCTTTCTCAAAGTCTGCCATCCAATGAGGGAGGCAGGTAACAGAATCAGGATGGCCCCATCAGAAGTGAGAGCATCCCAGATAATCAGTTCACATTCTGAGAAAGTCAAGCAGATAATTAATACTTCTGCTGCATTATGATGTGAGCAACTATTCTTGAAACTATGCATCATAAAATTACTTTGTATTTCTCTGTGGCCCTGCCAGTTCTGAATATTGGGATTTTAGGGGACGTATTTGCACCAAGGGATACTGGGTCTGAGATACTGCATAATGACTATACTTTGGGGAAATAGCTTCCTCATAAAAACTAACGTGGACAGAGCACTTAGATTCACCCGGTTTGATCTGCAATTTTATAATGTTCACAATGTCCCTATGAGGAAGGGATTCCTATTATCTGCTTTTTTTTTTTTTTTTCAGATGAAGGAATTGGAGGACTTTCCTGATGTCATTCAACTCAAACGTGACAAATTCCCATCTCTGTCTGGGTTTGGAGCCTCAGTTCTGGTCCATACACAATCTCATGAATTGCTTAATGATATAATTGCTCTCCTCGTGCTGGTTTGCGGAGACAGACCCTTATGTCTTCCTCCCATCCCAGTTATCCACCTGGGTTGTCTACACCAGCCAGATCTACCTGCTTCTCCCTCCAGGGGCTCTGTAGGTGGAAAAATGGAGAGGAGAGGTTTACTTGTTTGTACACTTGGGGAAAAGTGGACCAAACCCAGACTGGCCGCTACTGGCTGTCTATACTGGGGGAGGGGCGGGGGGGGGGGGAGTGGGTGTCTCCAGAGGACCTCTATATAGGGCACAAAGGGTTGGGCCCAAAGCTTAGCACCTTGCTCCCTGCCCACCTGCCAGGGAAAGAGAAATTCCTGGGGCTCAGGGTTCAAAGTCTGAGGAGGGGCTGGATGGGGGAGGGGGTGCAAATTGTTAGTCAAGAGGAAGTAGTCAGTCTGTGGCCACTTGCATGGAGTTGGGATGCCTTCTGTTACCCGTAATGAATTCAAATTCAGTGGCTTGAAAAGATGAGCTGGTCACCTGGAGACCGCAGGCTGGCCAGTGTGCAATGTAAAGGACCTTCGCTCTCCCCTGCTCTAAGCCTCCTTTTATTTCGGGCTTAGAGTGAGTCTGTGCGCCTGTCTGATGGTCTCTGGGTGTGTCCTTCAAGGAGTGCCTTTCCCCTGTTTCTCAGGCCTGCTGGTTCCCTCTCCTCCCGGAGGCCTCCCCACTCCCTTGTTCCCTCCCTCCCTCTTGTGCTGAAGCTCTTGGCCCAGGTCCCTCAGCCCCGGCGAATGCACTCGGAGGACGCAGGAGAGGTGAGGTCACGTCTCCCTTGAGCCCTGAGCCACTGGCTTTTCAGAGCCTCACCAGGAGCCGGCAGCCTCAGTCCCAGACCGCGCGGACCCTGTGCTCCTCTGCCCACCCTGTGCCGCCGGCCTCGCCCATGTCTCAGTACGACCCCAGCGCGGACTTCAAGAGGGCTCTGGACAGCAGTCCAGAGGCCAACACCGAGGATGACAAGACCGAGGAGGACGTGCCCATGCCCAAGAACTACTTGTGGCTCGCCATCGTCTCGTGTTTTTGCCCCGCGTACCCCATCAACATCGTGGCTTTCGTCTTCTCCATCATGGTGAGTCAATGAGGACCTGGAGCAGCCAGGGAGGGAAGACCTGGGAGGCGTTGCTAGAGTGCCGGGGACCCAGCGCGCTCTCCACTGCTCCCTTACGCGCCGCCCGCCGCACCCCGGGTTTTCGGTCCTTGGCGCCTCTTCCTCACTTGTCTCAGGCTCAGCACTCTGCCCTCAACCACCAGCGCCTCCTCTGCGCTGCCTTTGGCGCCCAGACCCCGACCCAGCCTCTCCCAGGCCGGCTTTCCACCTCCTTCCAGCACCCATCGTGCACTCTGCCCAACCCGGGGAGTTCTTCCGTGGACTCTGCGGCTTCTTTCCCTGCCTGCCTCCTCGGACATTCGCAGGCACCGGTCCGGTTCTTTTCAACCTGCTTTTCTAGAAGCTCAAAGTGCGCCACCCTTGCAGGCAAAAGCCCGCCCCTTTCTCTGAGTGCACGGGTGGGGGGATACCCCTCTCCAGCGCGAGGCACCCTTTTAGCATACAGTCTTTGCTCTGCTGAGCCCAGGGCGCCGCCCCGGCCACTTTCTGGGGGTCCCCAAGCGATTTCCGACGCCTTCTCCTTGATCCTGGTCCCATGCCGTCTTAGGCAACCCCGTTCTCCCGGGCAACAAACAGCTCCTTCTTCCTTCTCTTTACTCCTTGGCATCTCCGGCAACCCTTCGGCCCTTTCTTTTCCAGCGCGCCCGCTCGCTCTCCTGGCTTTTCTCGAGCGCCTGTTTTGCCCCTCTCACCTGCAACGTGCGCCCGAGCCTCTCTTTTACTCTTTCTGCCCCAGCACGTTGTAGTTCCTCCCTCGTTTGCTGCGCGCGGACCCTATCTCCGCCTCTCTTGGCGTCCCCCAAGGGCTCCCAGGCTCCCCTCCACCGCTCAGTCCCGCGCCCGGGGCGCTCCCGCTAATGCACTGGCGACTGGGCGCGCCCTTAGCGCGTCCGCCTCCCGAACGCGCACCTCTCTCCAGTAGTGGCTGCTGGTGTTCGGTCCGCCCTCCCAGAGCTCGGCTCCGCAGCCTCCTTCAGCATGGGTAGGAACTCCCGGACGAACCCCACCAGGAGGGCGGCATACACCCGCGAGGCCCTCGCCTTATTGACTGGAGCAGCTGGCCCGGGGGTGGCGGCGGGGTAAGGTTCCGACCGGCGCTGTCCCGGGACAACCCTTGCCGCGATCTCCCTCCCCAGTTACAGACCGAGAAACAAACCCCGTTTGTCCGAACCAACATTCAAGCATGCTGCCGCTTCCGTTCCGACTACCTGGGTTCAAACCCCAGTTCCGATCGCGGACTAGCTGTATGATCTCCGGAAATCACCGCATCTCTCTTCAGTCTGTAAAATGGGAGGAATCATAGCCACGGTTTCTTGAGGTGGTTGTATTAATGATTGTAAAACGCTTGATGCGGTGTTCAGGATGATGTTATTATTAGATCTTTACTCAAATGTCACTTCCCGAGGCCTTCCCTGATCCTGGTTTCCAATCAAAATCCCTACAAGCTCTACTCCCCTGCCCTTGATGTTTTCCCCCTAGAGCACTCCTCTTCATGAGATAGATTGTTTTATTTCTTAATATACTTACTGTCTATGTGCCCTCCTTAGAGTATAAGCCCTATGAGGGTAGGAGTATTTGTGGGTGTTTTTTGCTGCTGTATCTTCGGCACCTAGGAGAGAATCTGGCAGGTGGTGGATACTCCATAAATACACGAAATGAATGCAAGTGTGAGTGAATGGATCATGACGTTTGCTTCACTCCTGCTGCCCTGTTCCACAGACTGGAGCCAGGAAAACCTTGGTATCAGGTTCCTGAGGACCAGCCAGCCAGTTTCCTCTCTTCCTTCCTCACCAGAGATATCCGGTCTTGGGTTTTCTGCAGCAAAGCTGGAGAGGATGCTGCAGCCAAATTCTCCAGGATGCAGCAGACACTCTGGCTGGAACTGGTGCCCACACTCTATCCTGATTTATTAATGAATCAGCAGCCAGTTTGCCCCTTTCCCATGGCCAATTATAAAACTGCCTGCAAAGGCTTTTTCCTTCATTGATCTGAGATGAGCTAACGCTCCAGCTGGTGGTGACAGGTTGGATACTAATGATGCCACTTGGTGTGTCTTGTGGGACAAGACTGGTACATGCTTTGAATGGAAACCTCTTTTTTCTGACCACCCTCTTCCCCATTTCCTCCCTCAAGACTTTTCCAACAGTTTTATAGCAAGATACCACTCTCACGCCAGAACACAGACACTGGACTTGGAAAGTTGACTAGAGGCCAAGTTTCACGCCTTCTTAAAGACTTGGTTTCTTCATCTAGAAAATGGGATTGTGAAAAGCATTTTTAGTTGTGCAAAACTGTCAGAAAGATGGAACAGGATAAAGCATGTCCAGCTCCCAGCATCGTGCTAGGTATGTGCAATAATCTTTGCACAGATGGATAGATTTGGAGCCTGGGAACAACATATGTCACATATGAAAACAAAAAGATCATCAACTAAGTGAAACCCAAATTCTGAAGAGCTTCCCACACCTTCCCCATCACACACCCTCTAAGGTGTTTTCCCACTGACACTACACAGATCTGGGCTTGACACGTTTCATGATAAAGACTTCAAAATCCTAAGAATAAAGAGGAAGAGGAAGGGTGTGTAGGAGGAAGGGGGTTGACCAACCCTGACAGCTGTGCGGCTTGCCTATGGTGTCTTGTGGGGTCTGTCTTTTTTCAAGTCTGACTTACCTATAATTTGTGGTGGTCAGGCACACCGTTACTCAGTGTGGTGCCATTCCCCGTGGAGGCATTTAAAAATGTTGGGGAGCATCTTTGGTGTCACAGTGCCTTGGGGCTCTACTGGCATTTGTTGAAAAGGGCAAAGAGTACTAATGATTGCAATGCTGGAGTCTGTCCCCCAGTGGAGAACGGACCTCCCCCAGACATCGACACCCCAAGCAAGAAACACTGCAAAGGAATGCAGAGTGATATAAACATGACTGTATGGGAAATAGTGATAAGGCTCAAAAGAACTAGTTCCCAGAACTGTAAAAAGAACCAGCAATCTCAAAACAATGAGATCTTTATTTATTAAACCAAGCCAGAGAAGACTTCTATAAATTACCAAGTTGGAGTGGATGCTGGGGAATAAGAAAACTACTTTGAGAAATATACATCGGAGAAGAATGTTCTTCCAACTGTGGGCATCTATGGTCTTCTGCCACCCTGTGTGGAGGTAGGGAAGTCCTGCAAGTTGGAGGACCAGTCAGTGCCCTACAGATGAGAATCGGTACAACATGGCTTGCCATATTGGAACTCTGGTGGGTTGAGCATTGCCAGTGGCAGAGACATGGAAATCTTTGCCTCTCTATTAAAAGTGTACTTAAACTCTACTCAATTTCAGGGATGGGTATCTCAAGAACTTCTCCCCAGGCTGGGCCACTTCTAGCCCATATCACATGTTCAGGGAATTCGAAAATGGCATCCATTCGCCATGCAGATGCAGCCCTGCACCAGGGCACATGGCTTAGAAAGTAGAGCTCAGCCTGGCTTTCAAGCCGCATTCCCCATGCTCCCTGGTTATCTCTGTTTATTCCATCTGAAAGGAACTCCATAATTTCCATATGGCATTTGATTCAAAGAAAGAATGTTGGTTCATTCAACAAATATTTACTGAGTACCTACTATACGCCAGACTCTATCCCAGACATTGACATACTCTCTTAGCTCTATCAAGGGGTAAATAAGATCAACAAGGTTTTTGCGCTCTTAGATGAAGAAGGAGAAAAGTTCTAAGCAAATTGCAGGAGTATTGGCAATTTTAGATTGAGTTCTGTTGGTTGTGTACATGGAATTTGCTACCTGACTCAAGAGACTGAAGTTGAGTCCACGCTGAGCCTCCATTCTTAAAGAGGTCATGATAAAATCATCTGCACAGCTGAACCAGTCTGATCACCCTAAGTGTGGATACGAAATAGCCAATGACTTTGGACTGGATAATCTATAAACCTTCTTTCATCAGAACAACTTTTCCATCGCACTTATAGAACCTGCCTAGATACCAAGCACTGGGGTTCAAATCCTTTTCTGCCATCTGCTGTTTGTGATTTCATGCCACTGACTCAATCTTTCTGAGGCTTGGTTTTTCAACCCTGAAAAACGGGGGTCATGATAGTACCTACTGAAGTACAGCCTTGGAGACTGAATGATAAATGTTTTCATCCCATTGTCTAGGACATTGCTAGAACTCACGAAGTATGATGATGGTGATGATGATGATGGTGATGATGGAGATGACAATGATGTATATATTGCAGGGATACAAGCCATTGCCTTTTCCAGTGGCAGTTTTCCTCTTTTTATTGAGAATAGAAAATTCAGTAAGATCAAAAGCAGTGACAAGAAAATATGTCACAGGAATAAATAATTGTTGTAGCCTAAAAGTAAATATTAATGCTAAACTGGGATGTGTACAAATAAAAAAGTAATATGGAACAGGCCTATTTTTCTCCACTCCCTTCTGCAACCACTTAAAATGACAGTAAGTGAATCTGAAAGAGTACAAACATCCAAGGACATATTAGGAGAACAGGTGAAGAGAGGAGAGAGGTGACAACATCATGGAACATGGAAAATGGTTAGTTGAGCATTGACTTGACCTTATAGAGTAGATAATACTGAAATTTAAATCCTGCAGAAGGAGGATCCAACAAGAATAAAGTCCATTTACCTTGAAAACTCTAGAAAGGCTCAGAAATTGGAGATACCAGTTGATGATATCACCTTTGAAGCTAGGAATAAAGAGTAGGGTTGAAGAGTGGAGGAGTCTTTGAAAGTCTGTTTAAGAAGTTATTACTACCAGAGATCATCAGCCAGCTCCTGCGGTAGGCACCTGACAGAAGAAGGAGATTTGCTCTCTGGTGAGATTGAACAGAATGGCACCAGATACGAGGTACAGCTGAGGGTAAAGTAAAGGTATCATTGAACAAGAAAGGCTCTAGCCCCTGTCCCCACTTTGTACCCTGACCCTGGCATCC